GGGAGGGAGGGAGGGAGGGAGAAGGGAGGGAGCCCTAAACCCTGAAACCGAAACCAATGGGGGGCTGGGAAGATCTATCCACTCCCTTCTCGCTGCCGTGGGCCTCCGCGAAGGCACTGTCATCCTGCAGCCGATGCCAAACGCGCATTGGCCTGGAGAAGTAAAGGTGCCTTAATAAGTCAAACAGGTTTGGAGAGGTACACTATGCTCTCTGTATCTTGGGGACTATGAGGGGATAACATTGCTAATTGCTCAGGCCTCTATAGTGTGGCATGGGAGCAAAAATGCAAGATTTGGTTGGATCTGCACGCGCTTGGACTAGCGTAAGGCCCTCAATGACTAGAACAAGGTCTTGGGAGGAGGCTGCGGTCGATTATACCATAGTTATACCAGGGAGCCCTCAGGACTACTTAGGGTTTAGGGTTCCGGGCTATTACATGTTCAGCCTTCATACCCTACTTGGAGGTTCATGGGTAGTTATAAGTGGGGTGAGAAGTCGGGTAACTACAGTTATAACCCATACTAAGGGACTTGTGACCCACTTATAACTATACATGAACCTCCAAGTATACCCCACACCCTAAGCCCTAACCCTAAATCACAAACCTCAAGCCCTAAACCCTAAACTTATGGCCACAGCATCATGGCTCACGGCTCCAGTAATGATGTGGCCACAGCGGCTTCGGGATTGAAGCTACGGGCCTTAGTTAAAGTAGTTTTTCGGGCTCCTTTACAGCATAACTTTCACAACGAACCCTAAGGATGTATGTGGGCAATCATTTAAGCTGCATTCTATATTAGGGATTTAGGGCTTTCTAGTTGTAGAAGGTTCCGGCCTTCAGGATACAGGAAGCCGAAGAGAAACCCTAAATCCTGCAAACCCTAAGCCCTAAACCTTAAAGAGCCTGCACCTATCGAACAATGCAGAACCCTAATATCCTAAAACCCCCCAAGCCCTCAGCATCCGGAGCCCAAGCCCCCCAACAGAACACAGCACCACAATCCTAGAGACCTTTCAGCCTCTAAACCCTAAACCCTAAACCGTGGTTTCGGGTTTAGGGTTTAGGGTTTATCTTCAATCTCTAAACCCCCGTAAGTAAGTCCCAAACTCGGAGACTCTACAGTGCCCGAACCCCAGAACCCCAAAGTACCAACACCAAACCTCAACAAAACCCGAAGCCCCTTAAATCCTTGTTTGGAGTGATCCCTAAACCTTCGCACTCCTTCAGAACTATATGTATGAACGCATGCATGCATGCATGCAGGAAGGTAGGTAAGTAGGCAAGTAGGTGGGTAGGCAGGCAGGCAGGCAGGCAGGCAGGGTACCATCCATCCATATATATATATATATATATATATGTACACGTTTGTTTATAGATTTATGGATATTCATGTCTATCTAGTGGTATATATATATATATATATGTATATTTCTACTCGGCAGACAACGGTCCAGTCGCAAACTTAAACCTCCACAAGGCCATAAGACCACTGAAGATGCACCCGAAAGCCTCAACCGGTCACCTCAGACGCTTTGGGCACCACGCTGATCCCAGTCCTCCTCCGCAAAATCCTCCGCGTGAGTGTAGCAAGGCCTCACTTAGTCGGTGGAATTCTGAAAATCACAGACAGCCTAAACCCTGAATCCTAAACAGTGATCATAGGGTTCTGTTTACTTCCATGAGTTCCCAAAGCACCCTTGAAGTTTTATACGGGGCTTCTCACGTTCGGAGTTTAGGTTTGATAATCGGTCCCTTATTATAACGCTGTGGTACAGTATACCCCCAAAACCCCATTCTAGTCATTATGGCCGCTATATTAGGTGGAACCCTCATAATTACTCCACCTGTCTGAGTAAGGAGGTCATAAGGATCCCACAAAGAGGCCGTTTGTGCGGCCATTAAAACTTATCATTAGCCGACGGTCTACGTTGAACCTGTTGCCCGTAACCCTAAGCCACTGCCAACCGTAAACTCGAAGCCCCCAAACCGCAAACCCCAAAACCTAAACCCTCAAACCCAAAACAGCTCCTAGGACCTAAGCCCTACACCCTACCTAAACCCCTAAGAACCCCTATAGATCCTTGAAAGGAACCCTACACTCCCAAACCCCAAAGAACTCCCTAAAGCAAACAACAACACGTCAACCTTGGGATGCCACTTCAGTGGTCCAGTGTAGTGGATGGACCGAATCTGAGGTCGAGCTGCTGAGAGATTGGGGATTTCTTATTTTTTTAGCACCTTTTTCCACCTAGCAGTTAAGGGTGGCTAGAGGTTGGGGATTTCGGGGTTTGGGGATTCAGGATTTCGGGTTCGGGGTTTGTGGGTTTGCGGGGTTTAGGATTTGAGGATTGGGGATTTGCGAGCTTGTATAGGGATTTACGACTTTAAGGTTTGAGGATTCCGATTGTGGGTTTAGGGTTTAGGGTTTACGGTGTGAGGATTTTGTGCTGGGGGATTTGGGTGTATAGTATACTATATGTATAATCAGGAACCCCACAATAGTATTGGTATTCATTTAGGCTCCTATACTAGAGTTTAGGGTTGGCGGGTTTCAAGGTTGAGGGCTTAGGGTTAAGATCGGGCTGAGGATTTGGGATGTATGGAGCCATGGTTTGGGTTGTATGTCGGAATCAAGGTGTGGGGCTTAGGATTTAAACCAGTACGTAGGTTTGAGGGTTTTGGACGACGTAAGCATGTTGCGACGAATTTTCTACATGGGTTTGCTTTTGCGATGTCGGGTTGGTCTCTGAATGCACAACCCTAGATTAAACCCTTAACCCGGCAAACCCAAGCCCTGAACCCTAGGCTGGAGGTTTCAGGGTTTGATGGCTTCCACTAAGGTCTGAAACCTCTACATGTGCTACCTGTTCTATTTCTGCTGTTGTTAGTCCACCAACATCCATGCGAAGAACCTCCCGAAACCCGATATGGTCCGTTTGAAGGGGGTGCACGGCTTCATGTAAGAAACAGGCTAGGGCTAGGGGTGGTCAGGGCAGCTCCAAGCTCTCGACTCTGGGCTACCTATGTCCACGGAATGCCACCCTGCAAGGACACATGACACAGCAATGTCTGGAGTAATGTCATTCATGGCAGGAACGGCGCATCTTACGAATAACAGCGGAACCTGACCTACTAAAACTCAATCTCTATACCGTCTATACTCATGAGCTATCACTACCGGAGATAGTATTAGTCATGAGACCCTTAAACTCGTGCTGAGACATAGCAGTAATAAGTTCCAACGCCAGCATGCTGGTACACGTAAGAGTGAATGGGCCTCAGCTGTAGGACCTGTCTGCTTCGATATGTTGCCTGCTTAAAATATCTTAATTCAAAATGGTCAACGGTCGAGGGTCTAAGCTTTACAACAAGGCCTGAACAAATGCCAAAAAGATAACCCTGAATCTCATAACAGTGTGATTTAAGTTTGTCCAGGAATTTAGTAGCACATGTCACATAAGCCTAAGGCCCTAAAGTAAAAGAATCGACCCTGACGCTCAAAACCAGACAACTCCCCATAAGGTGCTGAGGTTCAAAATTTCGGGATTCAGAGGCTAACGGTTTAGGGTTCATTCTTCTACAGGAAACTACAGGTTGGGAGTTTAGGGTATATAGGGCTTCTATAAGGCTTCTATAAGGTATTTAGACCTCCTATAAGGCTCCTAGAACGGTAACTACCCACCTGAAACTGTCCTAGATTCTTTGGCCTGGTTGTAAGCTGAGCCCCTAAATCGCCCATCTCCACTAGACGTGCCGACTTTTCCACTCTAACAGCCGAGGTCGGGCACAGGGTTTAGGGCTTGAGGGCTCTACGCCATAAGCCCCGAACTCTAAGCCCCAAGCCCCAAACCCTAAAGCCCAAACCCCAAACCCCAAACCCCAAACCCTGAACCCCAATCCCTAAACCCTAAACCCCAAACCCTGAGCCCCCAACCCTAAACCGACTCTAGGGCAGTAAAGTTTAGGGATTTAGGGTTACATGTTTGGTGAGATGTGCTCGAGATCCTGAATCCCAAAGCACCCTACTTGGAGGTTTATGGGCAGTTATAAGTGGGGTTATAAGTAAGGTAACTATAGTTACAACCCATAATAGGGGACTTATAACCCCACTTATAACTACCCATGAACCTCCAAGTAAGCCCCCAAACCGAACACCCTAAAGCCCAAAGCCACGGAAGATTTAGGGTTTAGGGCTTAGGGTTTAGGACCCATATAAGCCCTTTAAGCCCTAAGCAAGAACCCCTCAAATGGCCCTCAAAAACCGTAAACTCGAAAAATCCGGAAAAACTGAAAAGCCCTAAACTTGACCCTCCAAGCACACATCGAGGAAGAGGCTCGGCGCAAGTCCCACGACGATCTGCTCAAGTCGTAGACGCGGGCGTTGACCTGGGATCTGCTGGTGTTTCGGGATCAGGGTTCAGGGTTCAGGGTTCAGGGTTTAGGGTTTAGGGTTTAGGGTTTGGGGGGGACTACTTTAACCCCAAGGGTCCATGTACTCATGGGGAAAACAACTTTGGCCTCTAAAGTACCCACTCTGTATGTACTTTGCAGCCCGAAGTATGTACCATATGGGAGTTTCCGAACATAAGCGGTACCTTATATTGGGGTCCTTCTAATAGTGAGCGTGAAATTAGGGCACTATATTTGGGTCCCCTGTTTTCGGAAGCCCCCATATGAATAACTGGATCCTGACGGGCAGGCCATAAAGATTTAGGGTTTAGGGTTTAGGGTTTAGGGTTTAGGGTTCAGGGTGTAGGGTTTAGGGCAGCTGAGGTTACCATGAAAGGGGAAGACAGGGAACGTTGAGGGGCAATATATAAGGGTTGCCACGGTTACTATGAGGTGTGAAGATAACTATTGGAGGGAACGTTTTACAACCGGCTCAAACGCTGAAGGACTGCCTCCAGATTTTGTGCGATTGTGTCATGCAGGGTATCTGAGAAGGGGAATGCAGCCCGGACACAGCTTTGTGGCAATGGATATCCTCAACCCCCATAGTGCCATAGTGCCCCTTTTGCCGGAGTATCGATTGAACCGTAACCATATGGTAAACCTGACAGAACACCTATGAGCCCTTGTACAAGATACCCCTTCTAGAACCTCCAAGGTCTCCTGTCGAAACCCTAAAAATCGCCTGCGGCCGCAGGGAGGCGATAGGAAAGCGTTCGACAGTCTCTGAAAAAGTTGGCTGCAAGGCGTTTAGGGCTTAGGGTTAGGGATGAGTTTCGAATATCTGAAGCTTATAGCAAAAGCGAAACAGCAACAACAACTCGAGGTCATTCTAAACCCTAAACCCTAAACTGCCACCGGCAGCCGGCAACAGCAGCAGCAAAGCAACAAAAAAAATCAACAAAACCGAATCCTCCAAAAACAGCAATACAAGTACCATCTTCACCCCTAAACCCTAAGCCCTTTATGGCCGTGGGCCAGGATGATGACGATGGCGATTTATCCTGACAATGAATCGACTGGTGTGGGTCCGAAACATCCGGACAAGACGAGCACCGGGCATTGTCCTGCAAGTGGTCCAGTGCATTGAAGTCTGGGAAGGCAGCTCCTCAGCGAAGAGGGCACACATGATCTGGTGAACAGCGTTCGAATGGTGCTGTTGCCACGAGTGTTGCGGCTGTCTGCTGTGATGCGATGGCGACGACTGCTGGCAGACTACCAGCTGCCTACCTTCTGCCAGCTGCCTGCCTTCTGCTTGCCCGCCTGCCTACCTACGTACCTTCCTAGTTACCTACCTAGCTACCTACGTCCGACCGACCGAATGAATGAACCAACAAAGGAACCACACGAACGACCAAATTCATTAACGAGCATACCAGTGAATGGACATCTTTATGAGTGCGGATCCTGCCACGACAGTTCCAGCATCTCCATGGATGCCAGAGCTGAATGATTCATCGTGCTTTGTCGAGGCTGAAGACATGCCTTGAATAAACCAATTGTGGAATGGCTGGTGGGGTGGGTGTGGTTGGTGTGGCTGGTGTGGTGTGGCTGGTCTGCCTGGTGTGGTAGGTAGTTACTCGGTATGGCGTACCGCTACTGAACCGAATCGAAACTCCGCAACAATGGCAATACACATACCGCTAAACACCACATGCGCATCGGTATCGACCGAACCGCCCGATTACAACCATGGCTAATAGTCGGCATATAGCTTGCACTTGTTTCCGGATGCTTAACAAGAGTTGCTGCTAAGTTCTGATTGTAAGCTATGCAGACTCTGTACAACAGTACCTTGTCACCACTCAGCTGCCAATAGAGCACCGTTATAAAGTATGCACTTACCTGCCGGTTGCGGACCACTGAAAGAACTGTTGGAAGTATACCGGGGCTGGCACACCCATTCTTAACATTGCATCAACCCTTGTTCGTGTTGCTGGTGTCGTCTACAAACGGCCGGGGTCAATGTTGACGGCTTCAAACAAGGCCTGATGTAATCGCTTTTGCACTGGATCTGGCTCGGGTGCATTCGGACTCTGTGCGCACCACTTGGGGCACAGTCGGCAGAGTTAACATGGAGCCGAGCTCAACTTGCGAAATGCTAGACTGCTAAATGGATGACCAGCTTGGCAGCCTCGAGCGTCAGGAAAGTCTGCCAGAAGGTCCGCAGAAGGTCAGCATACACATAGTTCAGAAGCCGCAGCTCGTCATCCACACCCATCTCAGAGTTCTCTGACGTAGGGCCGGTGGAGATTCCGGTCTGGTGCCTCTGTTTTGATCTCGCCAGTCCAGTCACGATGTGCTTTGTGATTGCAAGGTCCAGGACGGCTTGTGCGGAAGCTTCATCGGCTACCTGGCTGCTGCGCACTTTGCCCAAGACTTCCTGGCTTAACATCTTCTTCAATGCATCAGGGCTGTTGATCACATGAGCCACGACAGGGCTGTTGATCGCAAGCTGCTGCACCAGTGAGTCCTTCTGAATAGCCTTCACGAGCAACTCGGCACTGTCCACCAGACGCCCGACGTTCTTCAAATTCCGCATCTTCAATTCCCCCTTCAGCTTTGGGTCCTGCTGAAGAGCCTTCAAGAGCAACTCGGCCTTGTCCGCCAGGCGAGCGACGTCCTTCTTGAATTCCTCCTTTAGCTTTGGATCCACATGCATGGACGTCATCTCGCCTGGTTCTCTGTTGGGGCTATAGTAAAAAATGATCACATGTTAATCCTTATTGAGTGTTATTATAACAAAGTTATAAAACTCTAGCCAACAAGGACCCATTTGCTACTTCCTGTGACCTTAAGCTCCTAGGTCTCGAGACGGCTCCCCAAGAGCCTTCTCCCAGACTTGTCCGGATCTATGAGGCGCGTAGAGTCTCTGGGCACATGCCTGTACCTTAAGGACCAAAAGACCCTTAAAACTGGGGAGCCTATACCCTTATACTATGAATCCCTATTCTGGTATATGAACCTTAAACCCTTTTAGGGTTCATGTCGTCCTTTACGTAGAGACACGGCGTAGCAGCATTCACAGAGGAGGCGGCCTTCCGCCCCAAACCGGAGATGGCACTCTGCAGCGATGCAACGCGTGACGGCCGAAGCAGGAAGCACAGCAGGAGTAGCCTAGACATGCCAGCGTAAGGAGTGCCGCAGCAGATGCACCTGGCTTGCCTGAACGTGCCTGTGCCAAAGATTGCGGCCGGGGGTATGCACAGCATAAGCACCCGTGCCAGCATGCACTTTACAGCAAAGCCACATCCCACGCCCCTTAAACCACTGAACCTTAAATCCCTGAAACCCTAAAACCCTAAATCCCCAAACCCTAAACCCCTAAACCCCTAAACCCCTAAACCCCTAAACCCAAACCCCTAAACCCTAAAACCCTAAACCCTAAACCCCTAAACCCTACAGCCCCAAACCCCTAAACCCCTAAACCTTAACCCCTAAACCCTGAACAGTAAGCTTTGTGTAGCGAGGCTCCGGCTCAGCAGCGGCTGCACACCACCGGAAGCGCTGCCTCAGCTGGGTTTAGGGTTTAGGGTTTAGGGTTTAGGGTTTAGGGTTTAGGGTTTAGGGTTTGGGGATCCGCGACCCGGTCCGCTTGAAAGATCCCCTCGCGGGGATCCCCAAGGACTGGGCTCTTCTTTAAACATGTTAGGAATTTAATTGGGCTGTTATTGTCAATGTTGGGAATGTAATCAGGCTGCTAGTAAAAGTATTAGGAACTTGAATTTTAAATACCATGCTTGGGATCTATGGTAGATAATATGGTTTAGGGTTTTAGGGTTTAGGGTTTGGGGTTTAGGCTTTAGGGTTTAGGGGCTATGAAACCCCAAACCCTAAAGACTAAGTACTCAGCTGCGCGATCCCCAAGAGCAGAGGTCAACTTTGCATGTACCCATAGGCCCCAAGGTAGTTCCTTTTTGGGGTTCATATATAGAACCCTATAAGGTAGCCCAAAAAGGAACTACTATGGGGCCTATGGGTAAGCTCGACGTCATGGACAAACGTACATTCGCATGCAGGCATACATACTTACGTAGTTTAAACATATGATACACACATAAGCATGTGCATCATCTGTGTATGTATCTGCATGCATGGGGCTCTCTCTCTCTCTCTCTCTTCCATATCCATATCCACCATATCCATATCCATGTTTATATCATTCTGCTGCTATAGTCTATCGCCTATATCTATCTATCTATCTGTCTATCTATCTATCTATCTATCTACCTATCTATCTATCTATCTATCTATCTATCTATCTATCTAACTATGTATCTATCTATAATATATAATATATATATATATATACATGTATATCGATATCGTTTACCTAGACATAAACTGATCAGTTATAAAAAGTAGACACCGAACGAAAGCAAACATGGATGGCCGCTGCTTTCTCAGCTTCTACGATAAACGGCGCTAGACGGTATTGCCAGAGCCTACCTGGGCACACTCTGCCAACTTCCACTTACTTCCCCAATAAGCCAGGGAAATAACAGGTTAGACTTTCAGATTACTACTAAATTATAAGAACCCAAAAAGTTTGAAGGCTGGGTATTGGTCAACTAAGTCCAGCAGAACATCCCTTGCACAAGCCTAAGTAAGCCAACCCTGAAGGCCCAGAACTCTATACAGTGGCCTCCCACTTGTCCAGTATCCTTGGGGAACTAAAGGTTAACCTTGGGGACTAATGTAGTGCTTATAATCGAAAATGTTACCTAAACCACCGAAAGTAGGCAAAAAAAAGTGGCCCAAGACCTAGAGAAAAAGGCTATTCACATTCTACGAGTACATACTTTTGGGGTCCAGGTAACGGTTCTCTACCCCTAAACCCTAAACCGCAAACCCTAAAACCCCACTGCTACGGCTTTCCAAAGCTCCAACCGAGGCCGTGTCCCACCAACGGAGCCAGCTCTAAGAGTCTCTGGAAAGTGGCCTGCAGGAGTTTAGGGTACATAAGATAAACCCTAAACCCTAAACCCTAGATCCTAAATCCTAAACCCTAAACCCTCAACCCTACACCCTAAACCCTAAACCCTAGACCTTCTATAAGGCTCCTATAACGGCAACTACCCACCTGAAAGTGGCCTGCAGCAGGGTTCAAGGGCTCAACCTGTTTAGGGTTGAGGGTCTTCAAGGTATCGATATAGTGTAAGGGCCTTAGTAATTAGAACAAGGTTTAGGGTTTAGGGCCTATAAGGGTTTAGAGTTTAGGGCCTATTAAGGGTTTAGGGCTTAGGGCTTCGAGGGCTCAATTGTTTAGGGTTTAGGGTTGAGGGTTGAGGAGGGGTTTAGGGTTCAGGGGTTTAGGGTTTAGGGTTGAGGGGTTTAGGGGTTTAGGGGTTTAGGGTTGAGGGTTTACGGGTTTAGGGTTGAGGGTTTACGGGTTTAGGGGTTAGGGTTTAGGGGTTTAGGGTTTTCTTTAGGGGTTTAGGGGGTTAGGGTTTAAGGGTTTTAGTGGTTTAGGGGTGCGGAGTTTAGGGTTTAAGGGTTTAGGGGTTTAGGGGTTTAGGGCTTGGGTGTTTGTTTGAAAGTTGGGGTGACGGTCTCTTCGTTCGCCCGGGTTTAGGGGTTGAGGGGTTTAGGGTCCCGCATCCCCAAGCCCAATGGAACCCCATAACATCGAGCAGAGCCCTCTCTTCCACAACTGAGAATAACCTTCCCAAACCGGCCTCTAAACCCAAAGCCCGATATATTCCTACCCCAAACCCTGAACCCTATATTCCCACCTTGGGCCCTTAACCCCAAATCCTAAACCCTACATTCCCACCCTGAACCCTTAACCAAAAACCTTAAACTTAAACCCTATATTCCCACCCTGAACCGGCCTCCTGAGGACGGAGAACCATGAGGCCTGCGTTGAAGTCCTGAATGTGGCCAGCCTTGGGGTTTGGAGTTTTGGGCTTAGGGTCTAGAGTTTAGGGGTTTAGGATTTAGGGTTTAGGGTTTAAGGTTTTAGGGTTTAAGGTTTAAGGTTGAGGGTTTAGGGTTTAAGGTTGAGGGTGTAGGGTTTATGGTTTACAGGGTTAAAGGTTTAGGGTTCAGGGTTTAGGGTTTAAGGTTTAGGGTTTAGCATGTGCATGGATATGGGGTTTAGGGGTCTAGAGGTTTGGGGTTTAGAGTCTAGGATTTGCATGGATATAGGGTTTAGTGGTCTAGGGGTTTGGGGTTAAGACTTTAGGATTTGCATGGATATAGGGTTGAGGGGTTTAGGGGTTTGGGGTTTGGGATTTATTTAGGGGTCTTTGGGCTTAGTGGTTTAGGGCTTAGGGGTTTAGGGTTTTGGGTTTCAGTTCTGTGGGCTTCAGGACTTTAGGATTTTAGGAATTTGTGGGCTGCGGCGAAGGGTTCTGTAAGCCTTCCAAAACAGTTCAAGGTGGGTTGCTGTAGCAGGGTTCGTAGAAGGATTCCGTCAAGGGTTGCATAGGGTTCCTGCGGGGTTGCTAGAAGGGATTTATTGAGAGCTTTTGTTTGAAAGCCTTCTGCCATCCGCCATGAGGAGTTGCGAATTTCCATTTCGGGAAAGGCCACGGAGTGCCCAGAAGAACACCACAAACCACTGCACGCCATAAATACTGCCTGGACATGCCCCCCAACTTAGGGTTGAACACAGCTCTAAACCCTAAACCCTAAATCTTTTAAATTCCCATAGACCCTAAAGCTTAAATCCTCATGAACCCTAAACAATTAAAAAAACAGTTAACCCTAAACCCTAAATCCTTATAAACCTTAATAACCCTAAATCCTCATAAACCCTACACCCTCATAAACCCTAAACGCAAAAAGCCTAATGTGCTAGAGGCTAGGGTTGAGCACAGCCAGAAGCAGGTCCTGGGTTTCGTGCAGCGGCTTCGTCGACAGGTGTGGCGCCCAGGTCGCGAGCCTCAAAGGCCGTGGATAGGATGAAGCTTGGGTTCTCCAGGCTTTAGGGTTTAGGGTTTAGGGGGATGTAGGGATTTAGGGTTTGGGGTTTAGGGTTTAGGGTTTAGGGTTTAGGGGTTTAGGGTTTAGGGTTTAGGGTTTAGGGGGATTTAGGGATTTCGGGTTTGGGGTTTAGGAGTTTGGGTTCTCCAGGATTCGGGTTGTGCAGGCTTTCCTTAGGGTTTGGGGTTCCGGGATTCGGGTTTTGCAGGCTTACCTTAGGGTTGAGGGTTTAGGGATTCGGGTTGTGCAGGCTTACCTGTTTCTGTTTGGGGTTTAGGGATTCCGGTTTTTGAGGCTTACCTTAGGGTTTGGGGTTTAGGGTTTTGAAGGCTTACCTTAGGGTTTAACGTTTAGGGTTTTAAGGTTTTAGTGCTTTTAGGGTTTAGGGCTTTATGGTTTAGGTTTCAGGCTTACCTTGATCCTAACTGACCTACCTGTTAAGGACATCTATAAGGAACTCATGATCAGAATGTCTGAAAAAGGTAGGTTCTTTTAAAGGCCAAGCCCTAAACCCTTAACCCTAACGGCTACACCCTAAATCCCTAAACCCTAAAACCTAAACCCTAAACCCCAAACCCTAAACCCTAAATCCCTAAACCCTAAATCCCTAAAGGTAGGTTCTTTAAAGGGCCAAACCCTAAACCCTAAACCTGCTCTTTTCAGGATTTCTGTTTCTCCATCTTGGGCCGGCGGCCGCTGAGAGCTCCGGAGCATGACCTGGGCTTTGAAGTAGCCAGGGCT